ATGAAATAAAGGACTGATGATGGTGACAAGTTCTATTCCCCGTTTTTGTGCCACCTCAGAGAAAGAAAGACAACAGGGGGAAAAAGTTACTAATTTTCTATCACCAGTGGAGGAAACATCTTACCAATATACTTATGATTAGAATCATACTTAAGATATTAATCCCAATATGAGATCTAGAAATGGTTCAAACTGAATAACATCTTACTGTAGTCTCTGTGTTGGGTGCCTCTTTTCCCTGAAAAACGCGTGCTTGATCTAAAAATGTAAACCAATATCTTATCATTAGCAGTTATCAGTATTTGTAGAGGTGAAAAAAATAAAAATTACTCCGAAACTGTCATCGACACAAGCATAACAAATATAAAACATTTCTCAACTTTCCTATATATTCCAGTGTTTCCGAGTGTAAATTGCAGTTTTCTCATTCACTGTACTTATTCCGATGCTCCTTTACTTCTCACGAGTTTGAGTTTTAAACTAGCTGACATTAATACAAACACACAGATCATTGAAATACATAACTACTAGCCAGCGCGCTAATGCTAATCGCGATTAACCTCTCACTCACATAAATTATGGACACAAAACATAACTTTACGTTGGTTTGACTGAAAAATGTTGTGTTACCTGATATGCAGTCTGCCCCTTCCTCTGTGTTCACACTCCAGCTTCTGTTCTCCGTTGACATGTCACAACTCATATTAGTTTAAAATAAGAATGTAACAGGCACATAATCAGGAACTGAGTGACCGAGTAATCTCACGGGTCAGTAGCAAACACACATCACCAAACGGATGTACAGTATATTCAAACCTGACCAGTAAGAAGGCACGCACTTTTGTCATTGGCCAGTTTCGTGGATGACAGTCAGATTAGCCAATCATGATGAAAGCAACCAGGTGAAACAACCAATTGCAATTGTTTCAGAGTGGTAACGAAAGTACTACACAAAATTGTAAATCCACACAAAATCTCACTGCTCTTTTGAGATTAAAACTGCATCCATTATACTTATTGTTACTAATGACAATAATTATATTTGTACATATACATTTGGATTTTTGAAGAGGTGTTTTGATCAAAATATCATAAAATGCTAATAAATAAAATATTAATGATCATAATAATTCAAAAGGCAGATATTTCTAGTTAATGACATGACATTGATTCAACAGATATTTAAATTTTTTTTTTTTTAATAATTTGTTTTTGGTAAAAAAAATTGTTGCCCATTTAGAGCCCATGCACTCATTTCCCATTTGTGACCCAAATAGGACCCGCATAGGGAGCCCATCTGTTTTTGCCAATGTGGGACCTACTTAGCTGACCCAAGTGGGCCCCAGATAAGATGCCCATTTTGGGACCATGCCCACTTGGTACCCATGTAGACCCAGCATAAACCATGTGGGGCCCACACATACATGTTGGTTGGGACGACACGACACACGATTATGGAAGGCCAGGTCTAATAATGTGAACACGTTAAGGAGTATTTTATATGGAATTTTAAACCTAGTTTGATGATATTATTGCCTTAATTAGCGGAAATACTGAGCAAACCCACTCTTGAAAGGATTTTAAGCAAAGAATTGCATCACCCCACGTAAGTCACAAAATTATTACAGAAGTAGGCCTATTGCACATAAAGAATCACAAAATCAAAAGATTATAATTTACGTAGCATATGTAGCCTAGATGTGAATGATCCAGCATCATGTTCAGAATGTAAGCATTGACTTGGGAGCATAAAACGTTCTTTAACAATATACTATGGGAAAATTAGAACACTGTGAAAATGTTGAAGTTTGCAGATGCAAGTTATAATAATAATAATGATGTAGCATGTATGGAAACCAACATTTTACTTCATACACCATAATGCCACAAAAAATATTAATCGGGTCAGTTTTAATGCATAAACACGTTTAGTACTGTCATGAAATTGTATTTTTATTATACGTGTTTACTACATGTTTAATAGTAATAAGGTACCATGTTGTTGTGATGTGCATATAGGTCCAAGTCTGATTTTTTTTTAAATAAGAAATTATATGTGTAAAAAGTTTTGAGATCGAACCAAATCATAAGACGGATTTCTCGTTGTGATTTCTATTGTTCGTTCATAGTCGTACCATCCACTAGATGGCAGCACGGACCGATCTGATAGCAGCTCTAGCAGTTTATATTGATCACCAGCATTGAGGTATTATCATATACATCATTTTGTCTTCTAGGATGGATGACCTTTATGACTTTTTGAAGTCAAGAAACGTTTCTGACGACATCATACAGCGAATGTAACAGGATAAGGTATTCATGAAACTAATAAGTATATATGTATCACACGTGCAGTACCTAAAAATTGTCACAGAGAAACTTTGGAACAATATATTCTGTTTAAATAATATTCTCCAGTAGAAGTCCTTAAACTGCTCTGTCTTGTTTCTTTCTAGATATACTGAGTACTCAGTAATCCTATGTCTCTGGTTCAAAAAACAAACCGCCTCTATAACTCTATAACAACCAGTTGACTGTACATTATTCCTTATACATTATTATCAATTCAAGTCACCTTTATTTCTTGTCACCTTTATTTCAAGTCACCTTTATTTCTATAGTGCTCAATACATATTGTTTTAAAGCAGCTTGCAGTAAGAAACAGGACAATTATGGTCTTTAAAAATAATAAATAGTGAGATTGTTCAGCTGAAGTTAGTTCAGCGTTAATTCAGTTACATTTAAAACAGTTTAAGATCAGTTATGAAATGAGTTCAATCCAGCTATAAAGCAGCTCTGCAGTAATGTCATTGTCCATCTCAGCTCAGTTCTCATCCAATGTCACTTCAGTTGAATCAATAATATTTCTGAATTATACCTCACAGGGTCACTGTCATCAGAGAATGGTAAACTTATATTTAAAGTGTTTTAAAGTATATTGTTTTTGCAGATTGATTGCAGTGTCATACAGCTTATGACAGATGACCAGCTGAAGTATTATCTGCCTTCCTATGGTGACGGACTGGCTGTTCATGGATACTGCAGGAGAAAAGAACACAATCCCAGTGGCCGAAAAGCTAAACCTTTTGATCGGCTGAGAACCAGGCTAGCAAGAAGCAAAGGTGACACTGACAATGTATGTGAAAAAAGTGTGTCAAAAAATGCTCAAAAGAGTATGCCAAAAATTGAGATGGGATGGATGCATTTTCGAGAAGGGAAGTTTACTCAGGTACGAACAAAAAAAGGTGGGGGTACACGGAAAATTTGTGTGTCAAAGGACACTTGAAAAAAGGATCTACGTGAAAAAGCTGTCAATTGTTTTTTTCCTGATGTCAGTTCAGAGGGAAACTTCACAGATTTTGTGAAGATGTGGACAAGAAGAGCTGTTTGAGGTCATGGATCATCATAACTGTCGAAGAGTCCCAACAGCAGATAATATCGAGCAGCTCTTGGAGGAAATGGCACATCAGAAGCTGATTCAAGAACCTGCGTTTGTGATAGAGCAGTGGCATTATGTGCTTGCACCTATGAGAATTGAGCTCCAGGACATTGCAGTTGCCTATGATGAACTCCAACCGACATCAAGAAAGGTCATGATTTCAGAGCTTACCCTGCTACGATGAATGTACAACAAAAACAGACTGGCAGGTATCTAAGTACATTTCTTAGAGAATCAGATAAACAACACCTGTCCCTGTTCCTTGGGTTTTGCACCGGGTCAGATTTGTTCCTTGGAAAGAACATCACCGTTAGCTTCACACAATTGGAAGGCTTTCAGAGAAGACCCATTGCACACACATGTGGCTGTTACCTGGAGCTGCCTGTGAATTATGATAACTACCCAGAGTTTCGCCATGAAATGAACAAAGTGTTAGAGAGCAACATATGGGTCATGGATATAGTCTAGTACACTTAGTATAGACTTACTATTTAGGAAGGAACTGAAGATAAGCTTAAACAACATAATTGAGGTCAAAGCAAGCTTTATATTTTGTTTTTGTTTTTTTCTCAAGTTGTGTTTTACATGTTCACATTTCCAAAGTTCCTGTTAATATTCTCTCTGAGGCACAAGGGTTGAAAGGGCCTTTTTGTTATTCCAGTTACAAAGTTTCTACAATCATTTGTCATGTATGAACATAAAACGAGATTTGTATTCTATGGGTCAGTAGTGAAGACAAACAAGTTAAGTCTTCAGCAACACATCTCCAACTCACTGTTAATTAGCTCCCAAAGTGTTATGTACAAGTCCACTGCTGCAAACACATTGTTTGTAAGGTTCAAATCATGCTCTGACATAAGATCAACACATGTGCTAAAAATGTCTTCATTGCATGGAAAGTCCTTGAAAACACACTCTTCTAAACAAACTGGAACCTTCTGCAGGTGGGTCTGTGGCTCCATATAGATGAGACACTGCATACATGATGGATGGTTGGCCATGTGGTGACCGTTGTCATGGAAACACCTGCCTCACCAGCCGAATCAGCCTCCTACACCCGCTCACAATCACCTGATTACTAATCACGGACACCTGCACCCACTTACCACACCAGTCAAAAGCACACTCACCTCAGTCACTCGTCGGCTGGTCTCAAGGTTACAAGCATCTCAGCACGGGTTCCTTGCCTACCTATCCACCTGTCAAGCCTCGGATTCCTCAATTCTCTGCCGAAGGACCAGAGTGTCGACCCCAGATAAGACTGTGTTCTCTGCTTCCATTGATTCCTCGGTTTGATTCTTTTATGTTGGAAGCTGCTCCTCAGTTCCTTTTAATAAACTCACTGACTAACTTTAATCTGCCTGTTTGCCTCTTTGTCCCGGTTGTGATAGAAGACCAGCCCCTTTAAACGGATAACAACAAGGACTCATGGATCCTCGGAGCACATCCTCACCGGAATCCGTTACTGATCGGACTGTCACCACCTCCTCACCCGCCTGTCCCCTGGCCCGGCCAGCGAGCTTCTCAGGTGAGGCAGCCTTCTGCAGCGAGTTTTTGTTGCAATGTTCCCTCTACCTGGAAATGCAACCACACCTGTTTGTGACGGAGCGGGCCAAGGTGTCTTTCATCATCTCGTTGCTGTCTGGAAGAGCCTTGCACTGGGCAGAAGCCTTATGGAATTCGCAGAGCCCGTGGATTCACTCACTGGATGGCTTTGTGAAACACTTCCTGGAGGTATTCGGCCAATCGACCACAGAGGTCACAGTGCATGAGGAGCTATTTCAACTGCGGCAAGCGGATTGATCAATCCATGGGTATGTGCTTCGCTTCCGCACTCTCGCCGCTAGCAGCAGCTGGAACGAGGCTGCCCTGCTCTCGGCTTTCCGCCGAGGCCTAAACCCCGCCTTACGACAACAGATGGCCATCTACGATGAAACCGTGGGGCTCGACAGCTTCCTCCAAAAAGCGGTTCGCATCTCCCAGCACCTAACCGCTTGCCATAGGGAATCTATACCCGCAGCCGCTGCCTCACCCAGCCTCTCAGCTCCCGCACCAGAGCCCATGATCACGGATAGTTACCACCTATTGTCCACGGAACGATCTCGGCGACTCACCCATGGGCTCCGTCTCTATTGTGGATCCAATGAGCACCAGCTCCGCACCTGTCCCATTTGTCCACCACGCCCAGCGGTGAGTACTATCCAGATCACTCCGGATGTGTCTTGCATGCCTCATATAAATGCTCTTCTAATGTATCACACCCAAGCCTTTCCAGTCCAAATCCTCGTGGACTCTGGAGCGTCGGCTGCAAAAATGCCACGACCTGCCAGATCACCACTGTCCAGGGAAAGCCGCTGGGCAAGGGGCTGGTGCATCACCACACGCCCGAGGTCGTTCTGCGGATTGGATGTTTCCACACCGAACGGATCTCGCTACTGGTGCTGGAGGAGGCCGTCGTGGACATCGTCCTGGGATGCCCCTGGCTCACTAAACATCAACCCACCATCGCCTGGAAGTCCGGAGAAATACTCAAGTGGAGTGTGGAGTGTAAACAGGAGTGTCTACGGGATCTGCCTATCCCGATCTCCGGCGGGAACGACCTCCCTGTCTGTTCTACCTCGGTGGAAAGTCCAGATTCATCGCATGTCACTCCTCTTCCTCCCGAATATCAGGCATTCCAGGACGTGTTCAGCAAGGTCGCAGCCACTTGCCTTCCACCTCACCGGCCATGGGACTGTGCCATTGACCTGCTGCCTGGGGCCCAATTACCTAAAGGACACGTCTATCCCCTGTCGATCCCGGAGAGAGCCGCTATGGAGGAGTACATTCACGAAGCCTTGCAACAGGGGTTCATCCGTCCGTCCACCTCGCCCGCAGCGTCAAGCTTCTTCTTCGTGGCCAAGAAAGATGGGGGCTTGAGGCCTTGCATCGATTACCGGGCCCTCAATGACCAGACGCTGAAGTTCGCCTATCCCCTTCCTCTGGTCCCGGCCACCCTGGAGGAGCTCCGCGGTGCCCGCATCTTCAGCAAGCTTGATCTAAGGAGCACCTATAACCTCATGCGCATTCGCAGGGGGGATGAATGGAAAACTGCCTTTGTGACACCCACCGGGCACTATGAGTACCGGGTCCTGCCCTATGGGCTTTCCAACTCACCTTCCGTATTCCAAAACTTTATGAATGAGATCTTCAGAGACATGCTCAACCGGTTCATCCTCATCTACATAGACGATATACTAATTTATTCACCCAATCTCGAAGCACACCGTGGCCATGTCACCAAGGTACTCCAACGCCTCCGCCAACATCGCCTGTATCTAAAGGCGGAGAAATGTGAGTTTCACCAATCCACCGTTCGCTTCCTGGGCTACATCGTCACCCCTGCAGGGGTGCAAATGGACCAGAGGAACGTGGATGCCGTTCGGAACTGGCCCCAACCGACTACCATCAAGGAGATGCAGAGATTCGCCAATTTCTATCGCCGCTTTATCGTCCACTTCAGCCAGTTGGCGGCACCACTTACCTCTCTCCTCCGTCGGAAGGCCAAACTCCTCACCTGGACCCCGGAGGCACACCAGGCCTTCCTTCAGCTCAAATCTGCCTTCTGTAAGGCTCCGGCCAATTCACACCCAGACCCCAATCTCCGCTTCGTGGTCGAGGTGAACGCAGCGACCCTGGGAGTGGGCGCCGTCCTGTCACAATGGAGAGGTGAACCGCCGGTACTCCATCCATGTGCGTATTTCTCATGGAAACTATCCCCGGCAGAGCAGAACTACGACGTGGGAAATTGGGAGTTGCTGGCCATCAAGCTCACTCTGGAAGAGTGGCGGCATTGGTTGGAGGGGGCCAAGCATTCATTTGAGGGGATCACAGACCACAAGAACTTACAATACCTCAGAGAGGCCAAACGTCTTAACCCGAGGGGCTCTGTTCTTTACCCGCTTCCACTTTGTGGTTACTTAACGTCCAGGGACTAAGAATGTCCGAGCGGACGCGCTTTCACGCCATCACCAGTCAGATCCTACCCCCGAAGAACCAGAGCCCATCCTACCACCTTCAGTCTTCATGTCTCCCATTCAGTGGGCCCTCAACTACCAAATCCGTGCCGCCATTCTCACTGAACCCGCTCCACCGGGAGGTTCAGAGGGGAAGAACTATGTCCCATCCACCCTGCGTATAACCCTTCTGGACTCCGTTCATACCTCTCCGGGATCAGGACACCCAGGCAGCCGCCGAACCCTCTCGCTCCTCCAGAACCGCTACTGGTGGCCCAACATGGCCCGAGATGTCGCCCCGGTATATCAAAGGATGTTCGGTCTGTTCCATCTCCACCATGCCACATCGTCTGCCCGAGGGTAAACTGGTCCCGTTACCCATCCCTCGCCAGCCCTGGTCCCACCTGGGTGTGGACTTCGCTACCGACTTACCTCCCTCGAACGGATTCACGACCATCCTAGTAGTCGTCGACTGGTTCTCCAAATCCTGCAAATGAATCCCCCTGCATGGATTACCTACAGCCCTGGAGACAGCCGAAACCCTCTTCCAACACGTATTCAGGAACTTCGGTCTCCCGGAAGACATCGTTTCTGACAGAGGCCCTCAGTTCATCTCCAGGGTCTGGCGAGGGTTTTTCTGCCACCTGGGAGCATACTTTTAATCTCACCTATTTCGATCTATAATACCTATAGTTAGATTTGCCTTTAAACACCAGGTCTATGCTACAGTTAAATAAATAAAAAATGTAATATTTATATATTACTTTTTCAATAAAATGTATTGAAAATGATCAGGTGTGTGTGTGTGTCTGTTGTGAAGCCCTGTGTGGACAAAGTCTTAGAGCCTTGCTCCATTCAGATTAAATTAAATAATGTTTTTAGATCAACTCTTGCCAGCTTTTCTCGTGTTAATCAGCTATATTTTTTAAGTTCTCATAATGCATGGAACAAAATTTGGAAGTTATTGTTAAGCAATAACTTAAACTGTTAAGCACTTCTACTGGAGAATATTATTTAAACAGAATATATTGTTCCAATGTTTCTCTGTGACAATTTTTAGGTACTGCACGTGTGATACATACTGTATATACTTATTAGTTTCATGAATACCTTATCCTGTTACATTCGCTGTATGATGTCGTCAGAAACGTTTCTTGACTTCAAAAAGTCATAAAGGTCATCCATCCTAGAAGACAAAATGATGTATATGATAATACCTCAATGCTGGTTATCAACATAAACTGCTAGAGCTGCTTTCAGATCGGTCCGTGTTGCCATCTAGTGGACGGTACGACTATGAACGAACAATAGAAATCACAAATAGAAATCCGTCTTATGATTTGGTTCGATATCAAAACTTTTTACACATATAATTTCTTATTTTACAAAAAATCAGACTTGGACCTATATGCACATCACAACAACATGGTACCTTATTACTATTAAACACGTAGTAAACATGTATAATAAAAATACAATTTCATGACGTGTTTATGCATTAAAACTGACCCGATTAATATTTTTTGTGTCATTATGGTGTATGACGTAAAATGTTGGTTTCCATACATGCTACATCATTATTATTATAACTTGCATCTGCAAACTTCAACAGTTTCACAGTGTTCTAATTTTCCCATAGTATATTGTTAAAGAACGTTTTATGCTCCCAAGTCAAAGCTTACATTCTGAACATGATGCTGGATCATTCACATCTAGGCTACATATGCTACATGAATTATAATCTTTTGATTTTGTGATTTTTTATGAGCAATAGGCCTACTTCTGTAATCATTTTGTGACTTACGTGGGGTGATGCAATTCTTTGCTTAAAATCCTTTCAAGAGTGGGTTTGCTCAGAAGCTATTCCATGCCGTTCCGCTAATCAAGGCAATAATATCATCAAACCAGGTTTAAAATTCCATATAAAATACTCCTTAACGTGTTCACATTATTAGAACTGACCTTCCATAATCGTGTGTCGGGTCGTGTAGATCAGTGATCCAGCAAGTCATAATTTCGACTTTTAAAGTCATAACTTTGACTTTTTAAATCTCATAATTCCGACATTCTATCTCATAATTTCTACTTTTTATCTCGTAATTATGCCTTTTAAAGTAATAATTTCAACTTTTTATCTCCTAATTATGACATGTCATAATTTCGACTTTTTAAGGCATGATTTTTTTTTTTACCTGGCGGAAACGGGCTTCCATAGAAACGGACTTTAATAATGAGAAACTTTCTCATAATAATGACTTAACATCTCGTAATAATGAGAAACTTTCTCATAATAATGACAACATCTCGTAATAATGAGAAACTTTCTCAAAATAATGAGAAACTTTCTGGAAATAATGACTTAATCCACGCATGCGCAACGCAACGTGACGGCACGCTAGCGACATCTGTTGGTCAAAGCCATGCAGGAACACTGCAAACAATGCTTGTTCTGTAATCTAAAGTGTATATTCTATAATTTAATAACAATTTCAGATAGATTATCTGCATGTAGTCTTTTGTTAATTTGTAGCACATACACACCAAACTTTTTCTACATGATGCCAAAACATTGAGGAACTTATATTGTGGATGGATTTTGGTTAGCTTGAACTGTTTTGCCGTGGTGATTTGTTAAAATAACAGGAAAAAATTACAGAGTAATTGTGTTGTATTATTAAAATGCAGCTTCCAAACAGTTCAAAACTTTTTACATACATAGAACAAGTCATTCTGAGGAAATAGTCACAGTTTCACGACTTTACAACACTCTATGGATAACAGAAAATTAAAAAACTGTAAGACATCTGATCTCACTCACTCTGCCACTCTGCCTGTGTGAGGAAGGGAGGAGGTGGGGGCTGGGTGAGTGTGTGTGTGTGTGTTGAGAGGGAGTGAGAGAAGGGGAGGGTGAGAGAGAGAGAAACGTTTAAACATCTTTAATCACCAGAAAAAAAAAATCAGTAATTTTTTTTTTCATTACCGCTTAAGAATTCTCTTAGGCCTTATCCTTTTCTGTCAGTTTTAGGGACAAAAAAATCCAAATACCACTTAATTTGTAGGGCACTGACAACATAATTTGGTAACACTTTATAATAACTGCACGCTATGAATCATTATGTAAGCATTAGTAAATAGTCAGTTAATCCTTTCTAAAGCATTGTCCCAACATTAATAGTCATTAGTAAGCAGTTTATAAATACAGCTATAAATGCCTTGTTCTTGATTTATAAGCATATCTATTACAAAGGAGATTTAAAGGCTCAGTTATCTTATTAACATAAAAAATAAACAAACAACACAGAGGGAAACATAACTCAGAAATATTTATTTCAAGATGCAAAAAAAAATAAAAAATGAAACTGTACACTTGATTTTTTTTCTATGAAATTGCAGAGGTCTTTTTCTTTTTCTTTTTTTTATCAAGTGAACAGTTGTATGGTTTCATTTTTTCAATCTTGAAAAAATATTGTTGTGTTCTGTATCCCTCTGTGTTGTGTTTGATTAACTTTTCTGTTTGGAAGAAAAATGAGCTTTTAAATCTCCTTTGTAAATGCTTTACATGGTATAAACAATCCTCACTTTAGATAAGGTCACAAAAATATATGGCTCGCAGCTTCTAAATGTTTTATAACTACCTGACCTAATCATGAATTACAGCAGGAATGTGTTAATAAAGCATTTATTAACACACTGAGCAACTATTATCATGTGTTTAAATAATAAGATTTATAAATGTACATTTAAATCGTTTATTAATCATTTATATACACTTTCTAAATGATCTAATGAACTCCTAAATAACTGGTTTGTGAATAACGTAATTTAGAAATGATAAATTGATCATTAATAAAGTATGACAATACAATTATTAAACGTTACAGATATGCTCAAGAACAAAACATTTATAGCTGTATTCATAAACTGCTTACTAACGCCTATTAATGTTGGAACAATGCTTTATATAGGATGAATTGACTATTTACTAATCATTAACAAATGATTCATAGTGTGCAGTTATTATAAAGTGTTAAAAATTTGTTAATGTTTTGAATATTAACTGACATTAATACATGCTATATAATTATTGTTCATGTTAATTAATATAGTTAATGTTAATAACTGAAACCTTGTTGTAAAGTCTGTGTGAGGAAGAAGGGAGGTGGGGGGGCTGGGTGAGTGTGTGTGTGTTGAGAGTGGGGTGAGAGAAGCAGTGGGTGAGAGAGAGCGAGAGAGAGAGAGAGAGACTTTTAAACATCTTTTTAACCACCAGAAAAAAAATAATCAGTAATTTTTTGTTGTTGTTTTTGTTTTTTCTCTCCATTACAGCTTAAAAAATCTCTTAGGCCTTATCCTTTTCTGTCAGTTTTTGGGACAAAAGAAATCCTAGAAGCACTTACTTTGTAGGGCACCGAGAACATAATTTGGTAACACTTTATAATAACTGCACACTATGTATCATTAGGTAAGCATTAGTAAATAGTCAGTTCATCCGTTCTAAAGCATTGTCCCAACATTAATAGTCATTGGTAAGCAGTTTATAAATACAGCTATAAATGCCTTGTTCTTGATTTATAAGCATATCTATTACAAAGGAGATTTAAAGGCTCAGTTATTTTCCTAATAGAAAAAATAAACAAACACAACACAGAGGGAAACATAACTCAAAAATATTTATTTCAAGATGCAAAAAAAAAAAAAGAAACTGTACACTTTATTAGTTTTCTATGAGATTGCAGAGGTTTCTTTTTCTTTTATTTTTTATCAAGACAGTTGTTTAGTTTCACTTTTTCAATCTTTAAAAAAAAAACTTGTGTTCTGTATCCCTCTGTGTTTGTGTTTGATTAACTTTTCTGTTTGGAAGATTATTGAGCTTTTATATCTCCTTTGTAAATGCTTTACAAGGTATAAACAATTCTCACTTTTGATGAGCTCACAAAAATAGATGGCTGGCAACTACTAAATGTTTTATAACTACCTGACTTAATCATGAATTACAGCAGGAATATGTGTTAATAAAGCAATTACTAACACACTGAGCAACTATTATCATGTGTTTAAATAGTAAGATTTATAAATGTACATTTAAATAGTTTATTCATCATTTACATGCACTTTCTAAATGATCTTATGAACTCCTAAATAACTGGTTTGTAAATAACGTAATAATTTAGAAATGATCAACTGATCACACTTGTAACACACTGAAAAGGCTCTTTCTGCATTGCAAATAAGATTTAATTTTATAAGTTAGAAACATGCTTCATATGGGCAAGCTTTGCTCTTAACTTTGCATAAACCAACTTTCTCTCACTGGGAAAGAAGCTTTCCAGCATATGTGGACTTAATTAGTCTTCATTTGC